AGGAGCGCAACAAACAGCAGAAGTTAATAGTTCAAATATTCTCAGAGCACACATGCAACGCCCTTTGACCTCCGCTCCCCACTCCCCTCGGCAGTCCATTGCTGAAACAATGGAAGTAGGCGCCACAAGATCAGGACTCTGTTTTCCCCAAAAACGCACTGCCAAATAATTTACGGCACATTTTCATTGTTAATTTTTATAGAGGGAACTAAGGGAAAATGGAAACTCTACTGCTTTATTGCAGCTTATTTCGAGGCTCGATAGGAATCATCAACAATTCATTTCCAGTTTCATTGCCTTCCCATTTCGCGAATTTTATTCCTTTTAAAGAGGATTTTTCCTGCGGGAAGAACGATGAAATTCCCGCCGTAAAATTAAATTTCTCGCAATTAATTCCGATTCCCCTCCGCTTGCGGAAAACTTCGCTGGAATTTTTATCGCTGACCCGGAATGACCTTCGCATCGATTTCATCGCCTCCCACTTCCCAGTCTCCCCTGTTTTATTTTCTTTTAATTTATTTATCTTTGTTGAAGATGTTCCTTGAAGTTGATTTTATGCTCAAGCTGGCTTTTCTCATTTCGGTCCCCTTTCCTGTCGCCTTTTAATTGTGTTTAAATTATTGGGGAGAGTGGCCGAGGAGCTTCGATTTCTGTTTATCTTTAGCAATTCCCACAAGAATTGGATCGAAATTTTCTTTGAAATTTATTGCTCCGGAAATTAAAGAAAGTTTACGAAGGAAAATAGCTCTGGGACTCTTAGTTCATCTGAATATGCTAGGATGTGTAACCTAAAAAGGGATTACGTTTGGTTCCTAGAATTTTGAAATGATTTTGAACTTAGGGGTTGAAATAGACCCAATTGTGTATGATTAATGGCCATAAATATTTATAGTCCATTTATTGACCTATCGAAAGAACTTCGTTTCTCTTCAGCCCAAATATCATAAGATATTAAAACTTTTCAGCAGAACAACAGCCTACACTTCTCCCGTAGTAGGATTTTCTATTTAGTCGCTTTGTTTTTATTTCACATTTTTATCACGGGCACATTGAAAATTTACGAGTTTACACAGCGCATAAATTCTGCGCCGTTTGCCAATTTTTATTATCTGCAAAATACTTTATGCGCATCTGACACGGGAATAGGGAGCATCTAATGGATACATGAAGCCAAATTGAGACACTTTGCATAGACCAAAGCAATCATCATCCCCTCGAACGGAGTCGGGAAACTCGGTAGGGAAAAGCTCGGAAAATGAGCCAAGAAATAATGATAAAAGGTGAAAAATGCACTTTGCGGAAAGGAAAAACAGAAAATGCTAAGCGTAACTTATTATGAAGGAGCAAAGGAAAAGGGGAACGGGATAAGAAAACTTTCTGCGGAGCTTCAGCTGCATGTGTTGCATACTTTGTGGGGCTCCAAAGAAAGCATGAAAAATGGGCAAGGGGAAAACTAATTTTTAATGCCTCCCATAGGGAAGGAAAAATAGGAAAAGTTTCTTCCTCCGATTGCGACGCAAAATGTTGTCACTTTGTATCCTGGCAGCAGGGATCATCAATCGCCGCTCTCTTTTCTGAGTCGCCAACGGATTCATCAGAAAAATGTAAGAAATAGGAGTAGTAAACCAAACTTCTTCTTGTTTGCCAATAAATTTTCAATTTCCGCCTGAAATTTGCAATTTATTTCGCTGCAGCAAAGCTAATTTCCCGCTCTCCCAACCCTTCGCTCCTTTGTAAGTCACTTTCAGGGAGTTTTCCCAGGTGGATGGTAGTTTTCCCTGCAGTTTTCCACACAAGCTCAGCAGAGTTTATCGAAAGACATAAATACATCGGAAAATTGCATTGTCTGCTCCCAGGATTGCACTTTATTAGATAAGCAAAATAAGGTAAGCATCTGCCGCATTCCTCGGCGATCCTTTGACAAGTAAACAACTGCAAAAGTTCGCCCTCCATTTTCCACACATAAATCCCGGCATTTTTCTCAATGGTGCTGTCAGCAATTTGATTTGATTTGCCAACTCTGCGAAAATATTTCATAAATATTTGCCCGGCATTTTCCCGATTTTTTAGCACTTTTTCTGGGGTTTCCTTCTTATCGGCGAGCGAACATTTGCAACTGGGAAAATATTTTTCACTCTTTCCGTTTGTTTTTCCCTTGCTACTTTGTAGTGCAAATATTTTTGACCGTTTTTGCACTTCATTTGCCTGGGTGGGCGTGGCTGTTTGTTTTTCTTTGATGTGCTAAATTGGTGCAACGACTGCATTCGGATTGGGATTTGATCGCCTTGAAATCGTAAAAGGTAACTAGGATTATGGGGAAAATGGGGATGGAAGGCCCTTAGTTTGCATTCCTAACTCTCGAAACAGAGATTTTTATTTGCAGGCCCCTTTGGGACAATATCCATTTGCTTTTAACGAGTTGCGAGCAAAGTTTTCCCGCAGGCAGCGCGAATCCTTTTCCAAGTGAAACATTAAACTTTGCCCCATCAGAAAATAAGGATAACAACAGGGTGGCAAAGGATGTCAGCTGAAAGGCAGCCAGGATAATTGCCAAGGAGACATGCCGGCAATAAGAGAAAACAATTTCAATAATCCAAAGGAAGAGGTTAAAGGCGCGACACTTTCATGTTTCCACTTTTTAGAGGCATTGAAAATAAATGCATGTAGACAAAAGATTGTTTGGTATATTTAAAATATCAAGGAACATTGTAAATCTGGAATCACATAGCTAATTTTTATCAAATCCCAAATGGTAAGCCGGAATGTAAGAATAGAAGCACAAATCTTGTTTAAATTGGTCCTTCCCCCTTTTCAGACACTTCTAATGTAATTTGTCTAATTAACTCATTCCGGGCCCATTCTTTAACACCCACATTTCCATACCTTTTTTTAAACCTTCTTCGGAAGATTTCTCTTGGCTTCGTTTGACGTTGGTAGGGAAATCCTTTACAGCCTCTAATTATGTCGTTTGAGACAAAATGTGACTTGCGTGGCCTAATTGCGAAGGACTGCCTAGAAGGCGGCTCACGTGGCGTATACGCAACGTCTGATAACTTTTCCCGCTTTGCCTCTAACGTGTTGAATTTTGGCGCCTCAGTTCTAATGCAATTACGCACGTTTTTGGGAAAGTGTGTTAAGCGCTGGTGAGGCCTTGAAAAAGAAAAGCGTTGGCGCTTAAATTACGCGTTTAATCAGCACTTACGAAAGGCAAGGAAACTCTATATGAAGAAGTAGGGTACAATTGAGAGGGGGATCACCCACATTCTGTGGTTTATTAAAGCTTCCAAAGAAGGGAAGAGCTCCACTCAGGGAAAACGACAATCCACAATTGCACACCGTTTTGCGTTTAATTAAGCTCAAACTGCAAATGGGTAAAGTCACTTTCTCCTACAAGAGAGAATGAACTCGCTTAGCAATGCAAATTGGATGAGCCCTGGTCCCTGTTTGTTCCCTCATTGTTTGCTGTGGTCAGCAATTAAAAATTCAAACTATTGTGTCGAGCACTGCCTTCCTAATTCTAATTGCAAACTGTGTAGCGAATGTCCCCAAAGGACCCACAAAGGACACCCCGAGGATGCGGCTCAGCTGCTCTCAATTGTTATGAAAATGTGGTTTGATTATAGAATGAATCTGCTTAGCAATTTACAAGGCAAAGCTTCTGCTTTCTGGGAAAGTGCTTTAGAATTAATTGAAATCCGTTGGGACAAGGATTTGCTATTAGCCTTGATCTTCCCTTTGGGTGACTCACGGCTTTGTGAAAGAAGTGTCAAAGCTGCAATGGCACTCCGCCAAAAACAGACTTTGAAAGGTGCCAGAAAAATACCACTAATGAAAAGCGAAAAGAGTGGAACTTCCAGGTGACAGCTGCTATAAGTTTGGCAGCTAACATAACTTCCTAAAAGAGGGGAGTTGCAAAAGCGTTAACTTTGCAACAGTGTCAAAAACTGCAGGCGCATCGGGAAACAACTTTAAACCATTTGAAAGTTTGTAGCGGCCACTGGGGACGGGGTAAAATGAAAACTGAAATATCTGGAGAGAAAATTGCCAACACTTCGATGAAGGAATTCAGTTACTGAGTGCAATTGAGCCTTATTAATCGGAGGTTCAAGCATTTTGGGTTCAAGGACTCGAGCGCCTGACTGGACACCTACAAATATTCCCCACAATCGGACACTCCTCTCGGTCTCATCGCTCATATTTCAGCAGCTCATCGGGGCATAAACATGTCGTCCGCCACACTAATTGAATGAAATTTCATTTTCACAACTTCGGAAAATCTCCAGTGCAGGAAGGAAGGCCCCTTGAGGGGATTTCACGCAACAAAGGCTCAAAGACTCCTACTCCTCTTCATCTCCAAGAGAGCTCTTCAGATGTGAAGTGAAATATGCCGGCATATTATCGCACTCGAAGCTCCTCACCGATTTCAGATGAATTGCAATGAGTGGCTCTTCTCCAGGTTGTTTTCAGGTTTCCTTCCGGCTGCTCCAAATTATTTTTTACGACCCTGCCCTCAGAAATGACCCGACAAAGTGGGAAGCATTGGGGGCGGAAAACTTTAACCAGTGTCCATCCCATTAATTAAATGATTTAATCGCAGCAAATGTTGCTCGCATCATGAGCACAAACAACTTGTTTGGCCTATAAAGCGATGGTATGCAGGGCAACTACACTGAGATTAATTAGATCAAGCAAGCTGAGTGAGACATTTTCTGAAATGGCATGCAATGAAATGGTAAAAGTGTAGCCCGAAGTTCCATGGAACATGTACCTAAAAAGATTCCATTATGCAAGTTTAATGAAATGTTAAAACTTTTATTGATTCCATTGATTTCTGCCAGTGCGGAGAGGTGAAATGTTTGCTGGTCTGGACAAGTAATCCCTTCATCGGCATTTCCCTCACCAAGTCCGGAAACCATTTGTATAGGCAACCAACCTTATCGCAGCTGGCACTCGTCGGTGGATGCCACTCGTGACCATTCGAGGCTGACTCTCCGGGCGGAATGTTCCGGCCCAGTGGCAGTGGCAGTGGCTTCCGCCAGAAGTGGACTGGCCTCACGTTGAAGGGTGCTCTGTACGGATCATGGATCCTGGGCGTGTTTCCCTTCACCTACGACAGCTGGACAAGGACCTTGCGTCGTTCCAAGTGGTTAATTGCGTATGGCTGTGTCCTGAATGCGGCATTCATTCTGCTGGTCGCTACCAATGACACGGAGAGCGAAAGTCCGCTGCGAATGGAGCTGTTCCACAGGAACGCACTGGCCGAGCAGATCAATGGCATTCACGACATTCAAGGCCTTTCAATGGTGTCAATAATGCTGTTGAGAAGTTTCTGGAAGAGCGGCGATATCGAGAGGACCTTCAACGAACTGGAGGACCTGCAGCACCGCCACTTTCGTGATTATTCTTTGGAGGAGTGCTGCAGCTTCGACAGGTTCGTCCTGTACAAAGGATCCTTTCTTGTGCTGGAAATAATATCCATGCTGGCCTTGGAACTGGGCATGTCACCGAATTTCAGTGCACAGTTCTTCATTGGACTCGGCAGTTTGTGTTTGATGATGCTGGCAGTTCTTCTGGGGGCCTCACATTTTCACCTGGCCGTGGTCTTTGTCTACCGATACGTGTGGATTGTAAATAGGGAGCTCCTGAAACTAGTTAACAAACTGGCGAATGGGAAAACTGTTGAGTCTGAAAGGGTGGACTTTCTGCTCAATCTGTACCGTCGCCTGCTGGATCTCAGCCATCGTCTGGCATCCATCTATGATTATCAAATGGTCATGGTGATGGCCAGCTTTCTGATCGCCAACGTTCTGGGAATCTACTTCTTCATAATCTACTCCATTAGTCTGAACAAAAACCTGGACATTAAAATGTTGGTCTTCGTTCAAGCGCTGATCATCAACATGTTGGATTTTTGGCTAAACATCGAGATTTGTGAGCTGGCAGAAAGAACTGGTAGGCAAACTTCCACCATCCTTAAGTTGTTCAATGATATTGAATGTGTAGATGAGAAACTGGGGAGAAGTGTAAGTTGAACTCTATAGCATTATTCCGAATTTGAATCCACATTTCTTAAGCTAGATCACGGACTTTGCATTATTCTGCAGCCATCGCCGACTGAGATTCCATCATTGCGGCTTGTTTTACGTGAACTACGAGACGGGCTTTCGCATGGCCATCACCAGCTTCCTGTACCTGCTGTTCCTCATCCAGTTCGATTTTTGGAACCTGTGACGATAGCCCATTAAAAGCGCCCGTGGAAGAGTCCTCTAATTGGTTCGCACTTCCTTGTGTCGTCTGGAGTTGAGGGTCCTTGAAAGCACGCGGGGAGCACGCGGGACTAACAAGTGACAGCTCAAGAAGTCAGGGGATTTTCAAAAGGGTGGCAGGACAAGTGGGATGTGTACCCGAGCTTACACGGAGCCGTGTCTAAGTGAAAGCCCTTTTGACTTTTAGGCCGAGAGAACGGGAACACGGCCGCAGGACATCAGCAGGAAAACGAAGCAATGAAAGGAGATTTATTTCCCTTCCTCCAAAAAAAGGCGGCCATTCTAAAGCCAAAAGGAGAATATGCACAAGTCGAAAGGATTCGGGGAAAAAGAGTGGCTGTGAAAAGCAGCGCAATTAAGGCCAACAAATGAACGAGTTTTCAGCTCTCTGTACGAGTATATTCTTTTTTTCGACTGGCTAAGAATGCAGCTGGATTTTCCGGCGAACAATGGCTGCGGAGAAAACACAGAAAAGCTGAAAGCAGTAGTTTTGGCGCATTTTCTTTGTTCGACTCTTGTGCGATGCATAGTGTGTGCTCTGCTAATTTCCCTGACTGCGATTTTCCAGCTGTTTCCACACTTTCCTCGCTGCCTGCTTGTTTTTCCTGATTTATTGTGCTCCGGGCTTTGCTTTTGTTGCGGATTTCCATTCAAACAAACGCATGTTGTGTAGTTCTAGGAGTTTATTGTATACATGCTGCAGGGATACCTCTATTAAATCAATTAATTAGCAATGCCACAGCACCAGCTCTATTATTTGAAATATCTTGGAATAAAAAATGCCTTAAATTTGATACCACATTCCCATGCTTTAAAGTCTTCATCCCTTCTGGATTGAAATCAAATCCCTCTGGAAGGCATCAATTAAACTGCTGAGTGCAGGGATAAAATCCTGTTAAAAATCAACACTCGAGGCTGCGGATAATCTGACCCTTAGCCACTTATTGTCAGAGGCCAACCGCTGTCAAGGCCAGGCCAGGACCACCTCCAGGACCACCTCCAGGACCACCCTTCTAATGCCAAGAATCACCGCCATTAGCCTCGATTAAAAGGCCAGAGAAGAAGAACAATGCTGAAGGGGACATCAGCAACATCGGCAGTAAAAACAACTAGAAAGGACGCGTCGCTCACAGCAAAAGTGCGTAAATTGATTTTTATTATCCTGAGTCCTGCGCTCCCTATCCACTTACAGACTGCTGTAGCCATCCAACTTGGCTCAGCAAAAAGTTTCGGGTCGCACTTCCTCCCTTTCGCTGTGGCCAATATATTTGATTTATTGGCTTTATCCGGATTGCGCGCAAATTGTTCATTGCTTTGTTTACACCATAAAAATCCTGATGGACACATTAGTTCGCCGAAATGCGCCATCGCATGCTCATGAGGCAGACTCGTAAATTCCGTCGATAATTTCCGCTATCATTCTGTTTTTGTCTGGCGGAATATTTATTGGTGCAGCCATTATTTTATGGCAATATAAAAGTCAGCCGGGGAAGGGGTCATATATTTTATTAGGCACCTACATTAAATCACATGTAATAGCTTTCCAATTATCCAAATGACTTAGTACGGAAAGGTCGGCGTTTCTTTTCCAAATCAGGTAAAAATGTGTTCAGCCTTTCACACTTTCCTGACAGCAAGTTCACCTCAATTTATAATTTGTCCAGCAAATTAATTAAAATTTGCCGCCAGGCATTCTACAAAATCGGGCTGACTGTCCATTTATTGTAATTAGGGACGAAGCAGACGAAACTTTTTCGTTTTCTCTCAGTTAAAGGACGTTCAATGACCCAAAAGGATTGCCAAAGGCTGAATACGAAGGGTCAAAGTTTATCAGCAAATTTTTAATTTAAATTTATATGTTTTCCAGCAGCCGCAAATTGGGGAATGTTTCTGATGGACTGAGGAGCGAGTCAGTTGCACAGACTTTCAACTTCAAGGGAAGCAGTTAATGAAAGGCACACCCTTTCCAAAGCCCTTTCCTAATTTCGCTAAATTTGCACCATTTGTTCCATTGATTCGAGCCGACTGCCTTAATTAGTTTGCCAATGCGTTATAATTTGGGCTGGAGGCCCTCAATTTATATAAGCCGATCGGAGCGGAGGGAAGGAGCTTCCACCGAAAGTTTGGCTCAGAAAAGTTTGAGGATTAAATAATTGCCAATTTGCTGCAAGTTGCTGGCAGTTTAAACAACAATTCAACGAAGAGCAAAGCCGATTTGTGTCCCCAGCTAAAACGGAACTATCTGAAGGATGAAAAGGCGCGATGGAAGAAGCCAAGAAGAGCCGGGCAATTAGTGGAAAGTCTGGCTAAATATTTCAGCCATATTCTTTTGGCAACACTTTGCACTTGCACTTGGCTAAGAAACAACTTGAGATTTATTTCTTAAACACTATCTCTATTGCTAAACGAATATTTAAGCTTGAAACTTTTGTTGCGTTCATTCAATTGGTAGTGTCGACCATAAAAACCAATATCATAAACAAGATGAGCGCATAATGAAGAGTGAAATGAGGGGCAGATAGCCGAACTTATAACTATAAAGGAAACCCATTTCGGGCCTATTTCTGCTGACAGTGCGAATCATCATAAAGCGAGACAATTTTTATGAATTCTTGGCTCCGTGAAAATGGTGAAAATGTGCTTCACTCAGCAGGGCGATAACCAGATGCTGTCATTTTAATAAAAATATATTGAAAGCTGGCACAAATCGAGATGAGCGAATCGAATTATCCGTAAGCGTTGACGAGTCGCACCAATAGCAAGAATGTTGACCTAATGTTGACTTCACTGCTGGCATTTTATTGTGTAAACAAAGGATCCCAGGGATCCGGGGAATGCCACGTGGCCCAAACAATTGGCGGATGTCCTGGGCCAGGGCAATAAATCAAATGCTTGTGTACACTCGAGTTTATATTTGTTTGCCCGCCGTGCTGGATGGGCAGGAAATTTGCAGAAACTCGAGAACTGAGAACAGAGAACGGAGGATTTCGTGCGGCAGGAGGGGAATCCCCTGCACAGGATAATAAAAATCAATTTACGCGATTGTGTCGAGTGTGGCTGCTGGGCCCTGTTATCGCAGCTGGCTTTGTGCTCTCGATAATCGAAGATAATGGGGCTCTCCCTCGACGAGGGGCCCAAAAAGGACCGAAGGACTGTGGCTGACAGCCAAGGATGTTGGGGATGCCAAGGACGAAGGGCCATTGTCTGACTTTTTTTGTGCGCCCCACATTGTTGGCCTAATTGTTGCCTGTCAGTTGTAGTTTTCTGGCCTAAATGTTGCCAATGTCCAGCAGAACACACCGTGTATAGAAATATTGGCATAAATCAAGCGCAGGTGATTGCATTGTGATTGATTGTTTACAAATACCAAATACCTACAAATGTCTTAACGTAACCTGGTTTCTAATATTTTCCTAATTAAATTCTAAAGACAATAGGGTTCGTAATAATCCTCCTATTTAATATGTTTATTTCTTGTGTGAACAAAAGCCAGAGCGCTCTTAAAACGACTCATGTAGGTTAGTTCCATTGTTTTTGCAGAGTATTAAAAAGGGGAATTCCATGCACAGCTGGCTGCAAAGCAGTAAACTCATTTATTTGCTGGCCTTAATTGCACTCTTTTTACAGCCACTCCATTCTTTCAGACGCTTTTGGCTCTTCCGTTTTTGAGAGCTTAACTTCTGGCTTTTTGCATAGTCTCGTTTAAGGAGTAGGAATTCCAAAGGTGTTTGGCTTTTGCAGCTGTAGCTTTGCCTGCGGCCCTGTTCCAAATTCCCATCCTTTGCCCAACTGCAAGTCACTCACTTCATTCACTCGACGACAACCGCTTGTAGGGGTAGTGATTCAGCTTTTATTGCCATGATGTCACATGCTTAATATTGCATCTCATGTCTTTCCGGGAGACTTAGTGGCAGCTCTGAAGGAACTCAACCCTAATTGAAAGCCTGGGGAGTCACAAGTTCATAAAGTCAAACTGGACCAGGTACAGCAAGTACAGAACGCTGGCGACGAACATTTCAAAGCCCATCTCCCGATTTACGTAAAATAATCCGCAGTGAAGGAACTTAAACCTCTGATGGCTGCAGTACAGGGCAAAGTCTGATATCTAAGGGTACAATTTCTATTTAAGCGGTGGTTATAAAGGAAACATCACTTTAACTTACACTTCTCTCAAGATCTTTGTCCATACTCTCAATGTCGTTGAACAGCTTCAATATCATCGAAGTTTGTCTTCCAGTTTTCTGCAACAAATCACAAAGCTGCATGATCAGCCAAAAGTCCATGAAATTGATAGCTAGTGCGAGGGGAAACATAATTAACATTACAAAAAAGGACATCCTGCTCAGGCTGATCCTGTAGACAATCATGTAGAAGCAAACGATGATGTTGGCAGCCAGAAATACTGTCATCATTAGGACCGTCTGGCAGTCGTAGCAATCGGCCAGTCTGCTATATAGATGCACCAGTTGGGTGTACAGTTTCAGGAGAAAGCGAACTCTGGATGAGCTGCCCTTGTGGTTGCCCCTCAAGGAGGAAACCAGGCTCAGGAGTTCCCGGTTTATGAGCCACACAAATCGGTAAATGAAAGCCACCCCAAGATGATAATGAACGGCCAGGAGAAGCGTTCCCAACTTAATTACCGAGACGACCACGACGCTCATTACGTGCAAATTAATATTGGACATTCCAAAGTGCACCATCCAGGGAGCTAATAGTCCCACGATAATCAGAACTCCTTTCTGGACCACATAGCCATCGAAGGCGGGACAGTCCACTGCATCAGAGCAAAAGTACTTGGCTTCCAGCAGCATCAACCCATTGTAGATCTCCTCCAGGTGTTTGCTCCTCCAAAGGGTTCGCAAATACACCGTACAGATGGTCACCACTCCGACTACTCCCATCAGTGAACTAATTTGATGGAGCAGGGAGTTCCTCTGAAAGACATCCAACCTGATTGCATGTTTCTGGTCCTCTGCACTCTGTTTTAGCATCAGGATAAGAGGACAGGAGCTCATGGCTATTCCAAAAAGGATCAACCACTTGGAGCGCCGCAATCTCCTCTGCTTGGAGTCATACTTAAAGGGAAATATTCCCAGCAGCCAGGAGCTGTAAAGGATCGATTTGAGGACAATGTAGGCCAACTTCTGTCGAAAACCACATCGAGGTCGGAACATCGCAGGACGACTGATGAATCAGCCGTCACAATGCCCCAATAAAACGGGCATATAATTCGAAATATTAATTAGTACAGTTCTGAATGAGCAAGATAACGCCAGCCACATTAAGATAAAATTTAAGCAGGAAGTAATTTGTTTAATAGCATCCACAATTCATACTCTTAAGAGTACTTGTTTTCTATGAACAGAAGCTGAAGTTCTAAACTCCATAACTCAACTTATCATAATCGGATTTTAAAGTGGCAAATGTTTCTGCGGCAATTCTCTAAAAATCTGCATTCAAATTTAGAAATTTTGTTTTTTTTGTACATTTTTTTGTAATTTGTTTGATGTTATTCCTGAAAATTAAGAAATGCCCTAAGGCTGAAGTTCTAAACTCGTAGAGTAAAAGGGTATACTAGATTCGTTGAAAAGTATGTAACAGGCAGAAGGAAAAGTTTCCGACCATATAAAGTATATACAATAAAGTAATATATATAAGCAATTATCGAGGAACTGGAGCTATTAGGTTAATCAATCTATATAAGCCCTTTTAGGGTTATCAATGAAGGTGCAAGGGGTTGACCTATCGATTTAGAGGCGTTCATGAGGGGCAACAAAATAAAACTTTGAAAGCATTGAATATCATTCGTTTTTAATAAATTGAAAAGTTAAGCCGACAAGTTCATATAATCAAATTGAACTAAGTATACCAAGTAGAGGAATGTGGTTACGATCATCTTGAAGCCCATTTTGTAGTTTATAGAAAACAGTCCGCACAGTTGAAATCGGAACTTCCGGTGACTGCAAAGCCAAGCAAACTCGTTGACCTGTTAAAAGAATTGATTATAATTACATATAATTTTCACACATAAGAGTATGTACTCACACTTGTTTCTAGCCGATCATCTCTGTGCTCGAGATCGGAAAATATTTTTAGGATAACTGCGGTTTCGTCACCAGCCTTTTCGGTAAGTTCGCATACGACAACGAACAGCCAGAAATCCCAAATGTTTATTAACAGAGAATGCGGGAAGACCACCAAAAAGATGGAAAAGGTACGCATACTGATTCCATAGACAATGAGGAAATAAATGACCACAATGTTGCCAGCTAGCTGAGATGTTATTAATAGGGTCACTTGGTATTGGTAGGCGTTTACCAATTTTTCATAGAGCCCTAGAAGGCGGTTGTATAAGGAAAGAAATATGTGTAATCTGGAGGAGTCTGCCCCAGGATTCAGTTTTAGATAGCTCACTAGGTCCTTCAGTTGCCCGTTTATGAGCCATATATAGCGATAGATTAACAAGACTCCGACATGGTAGTGTATGGTATTCAAGTTGAGGGATACTCCCATCAGGCAGCTCAAGAGTACGAGATAGAAAGGGTACTCATTTCCCGGAATTGCGTAGATGAGCGTGAAGAAAGATATCAACTGGCCCACTTTACTCAAACACTTTTGAATCAGAAAGCAGCTGAAGTTTGGGCAAATTCTCTTATTCACGTCTTTAAAGTCCTGATACTCAAGAGTTAAAAGTTCGTTGCATATTTGCTCAATTTGTCTGCTGCCCCAAAAGTTCATAAAGTGTATCAATATGGCGGAAAGAATGTTTATCAGTGCAATTAATATGTTAATGATTTCCAGCACATAATTTCGCCTAAAAGCTTCTAGTTTCTGTTTCTTAAACTCAAACGCCAATCGAATCAGAATGAATACAAGAAAGTAATTAGCGACTAGGCCGTACAAAATTAGGCAGCGGGATCGCCTCAGTTGGCATATTCTTTTTCCGGAGTCCACGGTGAAGGGAAATAAACCAAATAGCCAGGATCCATAGAGAGTGGCTTTTAGGATCTGTCTTGCCAAATAAGGACGAATTTCGCGGCTTGTTCCAAACATTTCCGACCACGACAGAGAAATAAATTGGTCAAGTCAACTGGTGACACAAAAATGTAAGTAAACACCCGGCAATGTACGGGAACACTATAATAGAAAGCAGTAAACAAAGGGCTGACGGCTTCCCAAGTTAAGCATCAACATAAGCCCTTTTAAAATGATTAATAATTAAATAATTAATGTGATGAACTATCGATTTCAGAGGACTGACTGTAGGTAGTACAAACAAATTAATATGGTAATTATGTGTAGTGGTAAACGGGAGAGGAGTTATTGCTTGCATACTCGATGAATTATAGGACGGTAAGGGTTGTAAGCCAAAGATTGAAGAAAAGTAATGTTAAAAGTCACAGAGAAGTTTTTAAGTATTAAATGTTATCGTTTTTAGTCGTCTTAATATGAAAATTTACAAAACACCTCCTCAATTGGTATTATTGAACATCTGTTTTGAATTTCAAATTCATATAATCAAACTGCACCAAGAAAACTACGTATAAAATGTTGGTGATTATCATGCGGAAGCCCATCTCATAGTTTATATCGAACAATCCGAGATGGCAAATTTTGAGCCTGCGATGGCTGCAGAAAAAGGTGAATTCAGCTACCTAAAAAATGGGTAAATGTGTAAAGAATTAGTTAAGAATCAAAACAAATATCCACCTACTCGTCGCTCCATTTCCTGGTCCATGTTCTCCATGTCATTAAATAGCTTTAGGATCAGGGAGGTCCTTTTGCCCGTACTCTCAGCCAACTCGCAGAAGGCGATTCCCAACCAGAGGTCCCAAAAGTTGATGATCAGCGCTTGGGGAAAGAGCAGGATCATGACGACCAGGGAGAATCTCGTGACGTTGATCCAGCAAATGACCAGCACATGGCCCACAATAATGTTGGCCGAAAACAAGGTGGCCATAAATAATGTTACCTGAATATCGTAAATGGCGGCCAGGCGGGCGTTCAAGTCCAAAAGACGAGAATATAGCCAGAGCAGCAGTTGGACTCGATCAGGATCCACGCTGTCTCCGCTTCTCAGTCGACTGGCCATGTCCAGCAGTTGTCCATTGATTATCCACACATACCGGTATATGTAGATCACTGCCAGGTGAAAGTGCATCACCACCATTTGCACTTCTAGCTGCACAATGTAGATACAGACTGCCTCATGGACAACAATCTTGCTATCCGGTATTGCAAAGTAGATCAACAAAGAGGACGCGATTTCCAGGATTACCACAAGACCCTTTTCGATCACATACCTATTGAATTTGTGGCACTCCAATAGGATGAGCTCACTGAAGTGACGCTTCTCCAGCACCAGTAGCTCATTGAGAATCTCAACTAGTTCGCTGCTCCTCGAAAAGGTTCGCAGATGGGTCATCAGTGTGGTTATCAAACTGATAACCTCTACGAGCTCTTCCACCTGCTTAACCAATGGATTCCGCTCAAAGACCTCCACCTTGACGGAGTTGTGATCATCTGTGGCCGGCATCACGGATAAAACCAGCAGACCTAGGTTCAGCACCAAGCCATATGCCAAAAGCCACTTGGAGCGGTACAGCCGCCTTTTCCTCGAGTCGAAGGTGAAGGGAAATAGTCCCAGGACCCAGGATCCATACAAGGTGGCCTTTATGGTGAAGCGGACCAGGCGCTGGCGAATGCGATGAATGCGTTTCGGTTGTGACATTGTTGAAGTCCGACTCGGAATAATTTGTGACACGGAAATGACCCTTCGGAACGTTATCAACATTAAGTGCTGACGGCTTGATGGGTCAGCCAGATAGGCAAACTAATTATGGGGAACTTTCGCTCAATGAGTTGCGGTGGGTCGACTTTTAGGAAAAACTTCATTACCCGGAATGTAATATTTGTAGAGTTAAGGTGCAGAAGTACTACCTGAAAATCGCTCAATCAAAGATTGGAATATGATTAGAAAAAGAACTTATTAAGAGTGCCAATTGCTTTTTAGAACCAGATTTCAGTGACTTTGGACACATTTTTAACCTTTCATTAACATTTCAAACTTTCAAATAGTTGTAGCCTTCCTTACAAACGCGCGTGTAGTTTTTGACACTGTTTCAAAGTTAACGCTTTTTCAACTTCCGGTTTTTTTTGGCAATTGCGTTTGCCGCCAAAGTTTTTTGGCAGCTGTCACGTGGAACTGCCACTTTTTTTCCATTTCAGTGTTGGTATTTTTCTGTTTTCGGCGAGTAAGTTGTTCCTTTTGAGTTTTCTATTTCATCTACGTGTATAACAATTTCAAGGAGCTTAAATACCTTCTTTTATGATATGCCGTCTAAATTGTTTAGCATACTCATTCCATTATCAAACCACATTTTGAAGTCAGCTCCTCGAGGTGGGCACTTGCTACAAAGCTTGCAATTGGAATGATTAAGGCATTTCCCGACACAACAGTAGCTTGAATTTTTAATTGCTAACCACAGCAAACAATCAGGCACAAACAGAACCAACAATGAAGTGGGGTAAGGACATCCTGCGACTCATGCAGTTTGCTTGGATACACGAGTGCAATCTCTCAAGTGTGGGAACGACTTTAGCCATTTGCAGCTCGACCTTACTGAAACGAAAAATGGTCTTCAACTGAGTCATGTGGACTGATAAACTGATTGCAGAATACAAGGAAGGTGTGCATATTCTCCTTGGTATTCTAGAACAGATATAAGTTTGCCCTTCTCCTTCGTAAACAATTTCTACCTCGTTTCTTAAGCACTGAAGATGTGTTTTTTTTATTTTCAGCTTTACCAATGGCTACAAACTTTGAGTGCGTGATTTCATTAAAATATATGCGCCAGGGAACAAACATCTCTAAGACGAAACACAGAAGTTAAGCCTCTTCGAGGAATTCGCATGCAATTAGGCCGTCCCAGGTAGAATTTAAGCGAATTGGCATTATTGGAGTGTGTAACGGATATCGTTCATATTGGGCTAAAAGAAATCCTTTGAAGACATTTTTTTAAAGGAAAAAAGGGGAACAAGAGTACACTCAAAATGAGTTAATTAGATAAATTATGTTAGAAAAGGTGGAAAAAATAGGCGTGGGTGGGTGAAATGTATTTTGCAACAGAATTTGTGTTTATTTTCTTTTGAACTTTTGTTTTAGCCAGACTTTAGCCAAGTGGTTCAAATGTTCGTTGACCTTAAAATAACTTCACAAATCTGTTGGCCATTATTCATGCATTTATATGTAATGCTCAAAAGGATGACAAAAATGTCATGAAAATGTCCCGCTTTTAACCTATTTCTTGGGATTATTGGAAATGTTTTCTCTTATTGCTGTCATGTCTCCTTGGCCATTATCCTGGCTGTCTTTCAGCTGACATCCTTTGCCACCCTGTTGTTATCCTTATTTTCTGATGGGGCAAAGTTTAATGTTTCACTTGGAAAAGGATTCGCGTTGCCTGCGGGAAAACTTTGCCCGCAACTCGTTAAAAGCAAATGGATATTGTCCCAAAGGGGCCTGCAAATAAAAATCTCTGTTTCGAGAGTTAGGAATGCAAGCTAAGGGCCTTCCATCCCCATTTTCCCCATAATCCTAGTTACCTTCTACGATTTCAAGGCGATCAAATCTCAATCCGAATGCAATCGTTGCACCAATTTAGCACATCAAAGAAAAACAAACAGCCACGCCCACCCAGGCAAATGAAGTGCAAAAACGGTCAAAAATATTTGCACTACAAAGTAGCAAGGGAAAAACAAACGGAAAGAGTGAAAAATATTTTCCCAGTTGCAAATGTTCGCTCGCCGATAAGAAGGAAACCCCAGAAAAAGTGCTAAAAAATCGGGAAAATGCCGGGCAAATATTTATGAAATATTTTCGCAGAGTTGGCAAATCAAATCAAATTGCTGACAGCACCATTGAGAAAAATGCCGGGATTTATGTGTGGAAAATGGAGGGCGAACTTTTGCAGTTGTTTACTTGTCAAAGGATCGCCGAGGAATGCGGCAGATGCTTACCTTATTTTGCTTATCTAATAAAGTGCAATCCTGGGAGCAGACAATGCAATTTTCCGATGTATTTATGTCTTTCGATAAACTCTGCTGAGCTTGTGTGGAAAACTGCAGGGAAAACTACCATCCACCTGGGAAAACTCCCTGAAAGTGACTTACAAAGGAGCGAAGGGTTGGGAGAGCGGGAAATTAGCTTTGCTGCAGCGAAATAAATTGCAAATTTCAGGCGGAAATTGAAAATTTATTGGCAAACAAGAAGAAGTTTGGTTTACTACTCCTATTTCTTACATTTTTCTGATGAATCCGTTGGCGACTCAGAAAAGAGAGCGGCGATTGATGATCCCTGCTGCCAGGATACAAAGTGACAACATTTTGCGTCGCAATCGGAGGAAGAAACTTTTCCTATTTTTCCTTCCCTATGGGAGGCATTAAAAATTAGTTTTCCCCTTGCCCATTTTTCATGCTTTCTTTGGAGCCCCACAAAGTATGCAACACATGCAGCTGAAGCTCCGCAGAAAGTTTTCTTATCCCGTTCCCCTTTTCCTTTGCTCCTTCATAATAAGTTACGCTTAGCATTTTCTGTTTTTCCTTTCCGCAAAGTGCATTTTTCACCTTTTATCATTATTTCTTGGCTCATTTTCCGAGCTTTTCCCTACCGAGTTTCCCGACTCCGTTCGAGGGGATGATGATTGCTTTGGTCTATGCAAAGTGTCTCAATTTGGCTTCATGTATCCATTAGATGCTCCCTGTTCCCGTGTATTCCTCAGATGCGCATAAAGTATTTTGCAGATAATAAGGATTGGCAAACGGCGCAGAATTTATGCGCTGTGAAAAGTCGTAAATTTTCAATGTGTCCCGTGATAAAAATCAGCATTGAAAACGAAGCGATAAAATGGGAAATCCTTCTGCGTGAGAAGTTTTGGCTGTTGCTCTTTTTCGGAAAAGTTGTTTAATTTATGATCTGTAGGATGAAAATAAAGGAAGATTCTGTGGGTGGTCAAATAATGTAATATAAAAATATATGGTCATTTTTCATACAGAATTAGGTCGATATCTATCCGTTGTTTCAATATAATTTTTAAATTCTAAGCACGAAACGTATGATCTTCTTCATGTTGTACATCATAAGCGTTTACCCATTTACATCTGAGCGTTTTGAAATATATTAAAAGTCCCTGGAGCCACTTTCCTTCGTAAACTTTTTTAATTTCCGGAGCAATAAATTACTAAATTGCTAAAGATAAACAGAAATCGAAGCTCCTCCCCACTCTTCCCAATAATTTAAACACAATTAAAAGGCGACAGGAAAGGGGACCGAAATGAGAAAAGCCAGCTTGAGCATAAAATCAACTTCAAGGAACATCTTCAACAAAGATAAATAAATTAAAAGAAAATAAAACAGGGGAGACTGGGAAGTGGGAGGCGATGAAATCGATGCGAAGGTCATTCCGGGTCAGCGATAAAAATTCCAGCGAAGTTTTCCGCAAGCGGAGGGGAATCGGAATTAATTGCGAGAAATTTAATTTTACGGCGGGAATTTCATCGTTCTTCCCGCAGGAAAAATCCTCTTTAAAAGGAATAAAATTCGCGAAATTGGAAGGCAATGAAACTGGAAATGAATTGTTGATGATTCTTATCGAGCCTCGAAATAAACTGCAATAAAGCAGTAGAGTTTCCATTTTCCCTTAGTTCCCTCTATAAAAATTAACAATGAAAATGTGCCGTAAATTATTTGGCAGTGCGTTTTTGGGGAAAACAGAGTCCTGATCTTGTGGCGCCTACTTCCATTGTTTCAGCAATGGACTGCCGAGGGGGTGGGGAGCGGAGGTCAAAGGGCGTTGCATGTGTGCTCTGAGAATATTTGAACAATTAACTTCTGCTGTTTGTTGCGCTCCTGCGGAAATGTGTGCGGTTTTTCACCATGGACACGTTTTTCAGTTGCAAGTGCCATTGAAGAGCAGAGTGAAATTAATTTTGATACCACATTTTTAAAGCAGCCAGGAAGTAAAAGGTAAATAGAAAAAACACTACGTTATATAAAACTCTAAATGGTTTTTAATGGTGAGTAGCACAATAACAAATCTTATCTGTGGAGTACTGAGCAACAACTTCATAAACTTCTGCGGATGATTTTCCAACTGGCGTTTTCATCTTCATTTTCCATGCACCGTTTGGCCTTTTCTCGCTGCTTTCCTCCTTTCAGGAGTCGTAATGTCCCTTTCTACTCTCCTTTAGCCATGAGTGTGTGTGTGAGGGGGTGTTTGTGTGTGAGTGTGTCATGTGTCGGAGGATGTGTCTCAGTGTGAGTATGTGCTGACATCAAGTTCATAAAAATATCTGCCATAATTGCAGCTAAGTCAGCAAATGCTGACTGCTGTCCCCCTCCATTCCCCTCTCTTTCCATCAGTGGTCTACCCTCTCTTTCTCTTCCCAGCTGTGGTCCTTTTCTTGCTTTCAAGCTCTTGTCTAGCCGCATTTTCCTTTCTGTTGCGTTTCCCTCTGGCTAAATACGAAATGAAAGGATTCAGGAAGGCACGGGATGTAAGTTATGGGGATATGCGATATAAGAAGGGACGAGGGAGAGATCCTGAAAAGAAGCACTTAGTTTTATGCTCGCACATTCAGAGTTCCAATGCGGCGAGAATGAAAATGAGGCTGTAGAAAAGAAACGCAAGGGAGAATCCTTGCACATGGGAAAGGACTTTCATGAAGAATTTC